GCTGATAGGCTGCGGAGGCCATCGCCCCGCCCCATCTCTGATAGGGTAACGTGGAAGCTCGAGACGAGGCTGCGTCCGCCGGTTGCGGAGCTGTCAGAGCGCTCGGACCGGCCGCTGGGGGAAGGCTGCCTGGAGTCTGACTGGCAGCCGCCGAGTCCGCATGCGCAGGGGGCGAAAGGCTTTTGGATCGGGCCGGCGTGCTGCGTTAGCGAGGAGGAGGAGGAGGAGGATGTCAGCCAGGCGACGTTTTTCCAGGGTGCTGTTTGGAGAGGAAGGTGAAGCCGCGGCTTCGAGATGAGAAGGCGAAACCTCCTCCCAAGAAGGGAGCTTTAAAGCTCCTAGAATGGACTGATTACCACGAGGAATCAGAGTCCGCTCCCTGCCCCTGAGCATCTCGGGACAAATAACAGACTGAACTGGAGAAAAAAAAAAAAAGAAAGAGCACATCACTGACCTAAGCCACCTATTGAGGATGGCTTGGAAGTTTGGGGACCTTCCCCCGCACCCCGACTGTCCAGGGGGCCAGCGTGTCCAGAAAGAGAGCAGAATCCTGGAGTGGTTTGTGAAGAAGAAACCAGGGAGGTGTAGCAGCTGAGACAGCAAGGGGCTCTTGAGAGTGTGGCCAAGGTCAGCTACAAGGGAAAAAACACCTGTTAAACGGGATCTTGCATCTTCTGCTCATCAGAGGAGACTCAACGGAAGAGATAAGATCTTGAACAAGATAAAGTTCAAGTTACTTAATTTGGCATTTTATTTGTTCACAGTCATTTACTCTGACGTCTCCAACACGCACACTATACCCAGTAGTGTTTTACTTGAGGTAAAACAGTAATGCTTTTCTGTGTTAAGCATTGTTAAGTGAAATGTATACCTTTATCAATGAACTAGAGGCCTGGTGCACGAGATTCTTGCACTGTGGTGGGGGGGGGGTTCCCTCAGCCCAGCCTGCACCCTCTCTCAGTCCAGACCCCTGGCTCCTTACATGCTGCACAGAGCCCCCTGGATGAGTGGTGCTACCCCCTGTGGGAGTGCACTGACCCCCAGGGGGCAGCGCCTGTGTTGAATGTCTGATCAGTGCACATCATAGCCACTGATCTTTCTGCAGTTGAGTTGATTTGCATATTAGGGTTTTATTATATAGGGTTTGTATGTGCTACTTAACACTTTTAGAAGAACTTGAAAAGCAGAAAGGCTTCTATTCCAAAGGAAACTAGTGCAAAGGAAATGGTTTTGAGGAAAGAGACAAAACCCAAGTCTCTGTTTAGTTGTGGTGGAAAGTAGTATGTATATAATATAACTAGTGGCCCAGTGCATGAATTTGTGCACATTGAAAACAAATTAATTAGGAGAAATATTTTACCAGTAATATTGCTTATTCGACCTTTCTGTATAATAGAAGTGTCAAACAAATTCACAATCAACAATGACAGATGGAAACACATGCATGTGATTGGCACCAGCAAGAGCTTCATATGTATCGTGCATGCATGAGTCAGCTTAGCATTTTATAGATATAGAATAAACTTTCTTAATTAGACCTGCTTTCTGATTTAGCTAAACTTTTTCCAGCCTCAGTGAAGCACCCCAACTTCTCTTTCAGGTAATTGTCAGCAACACAGCAGTAAATATCAACATGAAGCAGATTATTATTATTATTGTAGATCACACAGGGAGAACAAAGGGTAAAATATTTATCTACAGCAGTGTTTGACTATATTCTGTGCAGTGAGAAAACCTGAAGTCATTTTCAAGGCCCACCATTTCTTCTGTACCGTCAGGTCAAATTTCTAAGCTTCCTAAATCTTTGTTTTCCAGCTAATGAAAAGAAAATAGGATTCTACCAAGTCTCCCATCTACCTACTCCAGGACTTCTGTGAGGATCAAATGAGATGAGGCATGGGGAAACACTTCACAGACATTTGGTTACAGTGTAAAATGTTTCCACCTGGCTATAAAGCAAGTTGTGTTCCTCTCTGTCTCTTCCCCATCCCTTCCACTATCTAAAAATCTGAAGAAACAACAAGGAGGCTAGTCCCTAGGGAGAGGAAGCCAGGTGTTGCTACATGACGTCATTACCAAGATGGACACTTAGCATATTAAAATTCATTCAGGACTAGGCATTCTTTCCCCTGGCTGCCAGCACCAGCTTCCCTCTGGCACCTGGGACCCGGACTTCCCTCGCAGCCTGGCTTTGTCTGGAAGGATGGAAGGACGTCTGGTCTAATTAGCATATTGCACTTTTATTATTATAGACTACAGGCCTGGTGCACGAAACTTGCGCATGGGTAGAGTCCCTAGGCCTGGCCAACAATCAGGCCCAATTGGGGCCTTCCAGCTACCACCTGGGGCCTTCCTTCATTCCACACCATCCCCTGGTGGTCAGCACACATCATAGCAAGTGATCGAACTCCTGGTCAAACTCCTGAGGGGACACTTTGCATATTAGCCTTTTATATATATTGATAGCTGTGAAGTGCATAGGATTCAGATCCAAGAAATGTAACCTCAAACCATGGCTAGTATCTAACTTAGCTTCATCTGTAAAGTGGGTATGATCCTGATTACTTCAAAGATTTGTTTTGAGCCCAGCCAGCCTGGCTCAGTTGTTGAGCATCGACCTATCAATCAGGAGGTCACCATTCGATTTCCAGTCAGGGCACATGCACGAGTTGTGGGCTCCTCCCCCAGTAGGGGTTGAGCAAGAGGCAGCTGATCAATGATTCTGTCTCATCATTGATATTTCTATCTCTCTCTTCCTCTTCCCTCCTCTCGGAAATCAATAAAAAAAAATTTTTTTTTAAAAAGGTTTGTTTAGAGGTCTCATGAAGTGTAAAGGTTCTTGTAAATTATAAAGCGTTAGACAAATGTTACTCATCTTTCTGACAGAATAATGAAGAAATTCCCCTATGGAATTTCCTTGGACTATACTATACATATACATATATTTGGTTTGCCCTTTTCCTTCTGACATCACAAGGTAGTGTTAGTGACAAAAATGGCAGATGATTTTAATGTCTACAAGTTAGTGAATACAGCATCTAAATTATGTACTGTGGTCAAGACAGCCAACAAAATGCTGACTTTAGATCATGAATCATCACCAGAATACTGCCTGTGATTCTGGTCTTAAGAATAAAAGCAGAAATAGCCCTAGCTGGTTTGGCTCAGTGGATAGCCATGGACTGAAGGGTTCAGGGTTTGATTCCTGTCAAGGGCATGTACCTCAGTTGCAGGCTGGATCCCAGGTCCTGGTTGAGGTGGGTGTGAGAGGCAACCAATCTATGTGTCTCTCACATCATTGTTTCTCTCTGTCTCTTCCCCATCCCTTCCACTGTCTAAAAATCTGTAGGGAACAGCTCTAGAGTTAAGCCTCAGATTGACCTGTGGCAGAGCCACAAACAAGTCCCAGCTTAAAGGGCAGAGTCCTTTTAGCACAATTAAGCTTGACTTGGATGTGAGGGCGATCTGGCTGCGACATCTGTCACCCCATTGATCACCAGGGTTGATTCAGCTGATCTGGCTGGGTAGGCAGATGTCCCCCTCCTCCCTCACCGATCCATGTGCGTCCCTCCCGAAGCTGCGCGCTTGGTCGAAGAGGACGACCTTCCCCCCCGAAGAGAGGACCGGTCTTCGGTCAAGGGTATACGAGTAGCTGCGCTCCCCTGCTAGAACCTCCAAACAAGCTCTCAAGCTTGACTTTATGGCCACCCACTAGATCCTTCCTGGGTAATTAATGGGCTGTGGGAGGTGCAGCAAGTGCTGCCAAAACAAATGAAACTCACAAGAACATTGTAACTATGTTGACCACTACCTTGTTTTTCTCTGACTATAAAATAAAGCCTCAGCTTGCTGGCTGGATCCTTCTCTGTGGCCTCATCCAGGCACAGGAGATCCACCAAGCCCCAGCTATATTCTCTTTGTCTTTTCTTTAAGCATTCACTTCCCCTCCTCAGGCTCACTGAACCTTGACTGTGCTGGCAAAAAAAAAAGAAGTTCTAACAATGAAATTAGGCTATTGAAAGGGAGTTTTAAACTTATTATTTTTTATTTTAAAATATATTTTTTATTATTGATAGTATTATAGATATTTCCCCCTAAACTTATTCTTTAAAAACCAGGAAGTCGCCAGAGGTTTTTATACAGAAATCTGTCATTATTGAATTTAAATTTAAAACAGATTGTAGAGCAAGCATGTCAAACTCAAAGGCTAACATGGCCAAATAAAGAAGGTTTAAGTTTATGTGGGCCCCCCAGAAAAACAAAAGCTTCAAATAAATGTAGGTTTATTTCAATAGAGACATGCTGAATACAAAGGGCTGAAATAAATAAGTAATTGTTAACATAAAATAATAGAACATTTTAATAAAAATTAACATTTTCTCTTGAACATTAACTTACCAGACACTGCACAACTGCACAAATTAATAAGCGTAATGCAAATAAACCTATTTTTCTTGTTCTCCAAAAGTGGAATATTTCTTGTTGCACACATCAAACAAGTCAATCCAAGACTAATGACATGGCAATTTGCTGCTAAAATATTCACTGCTAGTATTAGTGGAGAGAAATGGTGCCTGTGTATAAGGTGCATAAGGGAAATGAATGCAACACGATTATAGTAATCAGTCATTAGCAAACATTGTAGTAAATTATTAATAACTAGAGGCCTGGTGCACGGATTCATGCACCAGTGGGGTCCCTCAGCCTGGCCTGTGCTCTCTCACAATCTGGGACCACTCAGGGGATGTAGTAGTGCACGAAGCAACAGGTGGCCAGGGAGAAGCCTGAGCTCAAGCTGAGCATCATGCCGCTCCCAGTCATCCCGGCCCCACTGCATCTGCCACAGCCCCTCGGTAGTACTGCCACAGAGGTGGGAGAGGCTTGTGTCACTGCAGCTCCCTCTGTGGAAGCACACTGACCACCAGAGGGCAACTCCTGTGTTGAATGTCTGCCCCCTGGAGGTGAGTGCACGTCATAGCGACCAGTCAACCAGTTGTTTGGTCGTTCGGTTGCTTAGGCTTTTATATACATAGATTATGTATAATAGGATATTGTAAAATTAAGTTATGAAATTTTTATTAAAACGTTTTTTACATACCGTTATATTGTCTCAGCAGCAAAAAATATTCACTGTGGGCCACAAGCCACGAGTTTAGCATGTTTGTTGTAGAGGGACCAGCAGTGTGCCCAGTTAGGAGGCTATTTCAGTAGGTCAGGTGAAAGATGATGGAAGCTTGAACTATGTGGTAACTGCAGAGATGGAGATGCAGAGAAGCAAACAAATGTGGTATGTATTTTGGTGCTAATAAATGGGATTAATGGGAGTAGGACCAAGTGACTTCTCAGGTCACCTTTATTCAGTTAATTACTCTTTAATTGCAATACAAAAGTGTAGCCTAAAGTATTTTTATACTAATTAGGTTCTGGAAAAACCAACTGGCAAGAGTACATAAAATATGAAAGATTCACTTATTGGACTTCTATTACAAATTCACAGCAAGGTGTGGAAACTAAAGTGAAAAAAAAAACAAAACAAAACAGCAAACAAAAAGACCTAGCCACAGCCTAAGCCAAAATAAATATTTCCATGGGCTAGAAATAGGAGGTGGGGCATGGGGAAAACCACAACAAAGTCATGTGTAAGCAGAAGTCAAGGTCCCTTTCTAGCTCTAGAAAGGGATCAAAAGTAATGCAAAGACAGTCTCCTATTCTTGGTGCTTTTACCTCATTTCTGGTAGCTCCCAGAAATCTTTGGTATTGCTTAGCTTATAGCTGCATTATTCTAGCCTCTGCCTTTACCTTTGCATGTATTCTTTGGTA